GAGAGAGAAAGAGAGAGAGAGAGAGAGAGAGAGAGAGAGAGAGAGAGAGAGAGAGAGAGAGAGAGAGGAGGTGGACATGAGAGAAATGGCAAGGGAGGAGGACGACCTGGGACGTGGAGGAAGGATACATTAGGGGCATAACGCAAAGATGGCAACCCTGTAGGGGAGCAAACAGGTCAAAAACGCTCAGGGCCTGACCATCTGGGGAGAGGGACGAAAGTGGACCCGCCTAGCTGGGGTATAATGCAAAGATTATAATGCAGAACGGCTTTCCGATCTACCCGCATCCTTTTGGGGTATTTTCGCATGTCTGTAAACTTTCAGGGGTATTTCGCAAATTCTGCCAAACTTTTACTATTTGCCAGAGATACCGTTCATATAACTTCATAATACATAGTAGTCTTCTGTGTTTCATCGCTGATCCTCTCTGCTCAATGTGTCCAGCAAAGCACCTCGAGATGTGCTATTACGTACTTGATGGGAGGCCTTTGAAACTAGAAGGGGACTTTGTGTGTTCGTGATGCCTGTGTTTTACTGGTGGTGACATACATGGCTGCCTGTCCCTTGAGACTGTTGTCATTGTTTTCAATTCGGTGTAAGCAGAACCCACTCTTCTCCTTGCTGTATGTATGAGTTGCCACACCGCAGTGTTGCCTGTGATGTGACCGGCGTTCTGCCTGTGTTGTTGCCTGCCTTGGCGCCTGTGTTGTTGCTTGCCCTGCCGCTTCCTTTGCTGCCTGGCCATTTGCGCATCTGCCCTCTCCCGCTCTCCCCCTCCCTCCCCCGACTGCATGCACTGTTGCTGATTGCGTTTTGATGTGCTTGAATCATTCGATCACTAAAGGCAATAAGGGGTTCAGGAGAGAGTGGAGGGTTTATCGTTAGCAATCTGACCAAACAGTCCCTCACTACCCTTTTTGTTGCAACTTCTGACTTCCAGTGCCTTGTTCTTCCACCATTTCATTTGTTTTTCCCCTCCTTATCATGTGATGACGATTTTGGATAAGTCTTTGGTCGAAATAAATCCAAATATTGACAATAGCTGTGTACCAATATTGCATTACCTCTAGTGTACTAGATGCCAATTAAGTTCAGACGCAATGATCATATTATTTCCAGCTACTTAACACAGGTATTAATGCAGAGACAGCGACACACACACACACACACACACACACACACACACACACAGAGAGAGGGGGGGGCAGGTTTTCCCCACATGGGTTGAAGGTAAAATAACAAGAGAGGGGAGGGGAGGAGGGGGGAGGAGGGGACGGAATGGGGGAGGAGTGAGCTATAGAGGGAGAAAATACCTCTTCGGTTTCTTTGACCAAATTACCACGATTGGCCGAACCGGCTGATTGAAGACCTCCCAGCTTATCAACCATCTTACCAAAGAAAATGAAAAACACTGGGAATCCAGCCCCAGTGCCCACAGCCCCCAGTGTCCCTAGCAGAATGAGAAGAGCATCCACGGAATCAGCAAAGCGATATAACGACAAATATGATACTCCGGGTAAAGCCTCTGGAGCCTTCTTTTTATTTCCCGACTCATCTCCTTTCGACTCTGAGCCACCATTGCCTTCACCGTTGTTACTAGGAGCTTCCGCACCCTCCTGCACGACTTGTTTCCCACCTTCTCTCTCCATCACCTGCAGTTCTTGACCTCGTCCAGGTGGCCTCATGTTAAACCTATCGCTCAGTCAAGTCCAAGGACTGCCAGCGAAAAGGTTTTTAGCAATCTACTTTTTGAACCTGCACAGACATACCCACAAGCAATGAACAACCAAGGGATGTAGGAGGGGCCCATCTTGTTAAAGTCCAAAAATTGGCAGCGAAAAATTGTCTTTGTCACTCTTCTTGTGGAACCTTTACCATACCGACAAGCAACAAACGACAAAGGGATGCAGTATTGGCACATCTTGGTACTTTCATTCTCTTTTTTCTTATTTTTTTTTTTTTTCTTTTTTTTTTTTTTTCTTTTTTTTTTTTTTTTTTCCCTTTTTTTTTTTTCTTTTTTTTTTTTTCTTTTTCCTTTTTTCTTTTTTCTTTTTTCTTTGTTCTTTGTTCTTTGTTCTTTGTTCTTTTTCTGAAACAAGAGCCAGTCTGGCTGTTGGGAGGGGTGATAGGAGCAGCGTCACCTAACAGCCTTTCTGGTTGCTCCAATCTATTGGTGGGTAGCGTCATCTGCTGGAAATGGGGTCCAGCGTCCCTATGCATACAACTTGAAGGCCTTAGATACATGTTGAAGAAAGAATGTTTTCCCTGCCAGCATTGGTACTTCCATTCTCTAGTAAGCATTGAAGCCCAGTGCTGTTTGGCAAGATTCCATCGCGGCTGCTATCTTCACTTCAGTAGTTCACTACCGGATTAATGTCAGGCGCATACGGAACGAGGAAGAAAGGAAATGGATGGAGGAGAGAGAACTGCAGGCACAACTCAAAGGATGTCACCGACAAGATGAAAATCTACAGGAAATGATCAGGAGCATTGCCGAAAACTGGAAAGAGCTGCTCGAAGACGAATTCGCCTGCAAACCAGGGGGAACAAAATTGGGGGTGGAAATTCACGAAACAACCCCGTACCAAGTCTATCAATTTTCAACTTTTCACACAGAGGAAACCCCAGTGCTCGTCAGGATGTATTCACATCCTTCCCGATCAGCCATTCCAGACGGCATGCTCCATCTATTCGAAACAAAGACACACAGACTGTCTGCAAGCAGCAGATCCAAGCTGTGGAGGAAGTTTTACCCTTTATGTATACTATTTGTATACACATTTTATAAAATAAGAGTGTTGGGACTCGGAAGTATGGCAAAAGACCATTTTCCAAAGAGGAACGCTGGTCTGGGGCTGGAACTCGATCAAGCGAGGCAGGATGGGCCCAGCAACCAAAGAAGGGCAACGGAAGAATATACAGTCAAACTTGGCTACGATATGTTCCTTGAGACAAAAGACCCCAAACCTACCATTAGACAAAGAAGATGGGAAAGGATGGCCTCAACACCACTGGCCCATGAGGCAAAAAACAAAAAAAGACGAAGATGGGATCCGCTAATGGGCTCAGATGCTGACCAAATTCCCAAAATAGCATGGAGGAAACTTAAAAAGTTAAAACCATACATCCAATCAAGGTCAGAAGCCTCAAAAAATTGGCTCATCACCTATGCCACTCTGCTCATCAATAATTGGCTGCATATATCAGGAGACGAAGTAATGAGTCTAGTAGCTCAGATCTCGGTGCAATATGCTCAGACCAAGAACAGGAAGACATAATACACTGCTTAACACACTGCTTAATGCAGTGTAAGGAAGCTCGAGAATTTGGGGCTAGGACTTCGGACCTGTGGGACCACCTCTTCTCTTCTGCTCTCCGTGAACACCCCATTTAGGCCATCAAGCTTCATGTTATATTTTTTCAATCGAAGTCGCGTTTGGGACATGTCATCTTCTTCTTTTTCTTATCCCTCCTCCTTGTCCTTCTCTCCTTTCCTGACCTTCTGTTCCTGTCCCTTTCCCGGTCTTATGAGTGGTGACCTGTTTGCTATCTGAAGACCTGTTTTTCTTACTCTTGACCATCTCATTGTTGCTAATCATACAACATCCCACCACAATTTGGTAAACCACAAAAGACTTGGTTTGGAGTCTTCGGACTGATCCTCTTAACGACTCAGTACTATATGGAAGGAAAGATGCAACAGGACGTTGGACAACACTAAGAAACGCACATGACAAAGTCTGGGCCACCACTCCAAGTATGATTGAGGCGGAAATTCTCTGTCAAATGAGGAGTCTAATGCCCAATTCAACGCAGCCCTGACACGAAGCAGGCATGGCTGGCAAGTTCCAAAAGAATATGGCCACAACCATTTTCTAACCCATGAGGACAATCGTTAGAATCGCACTGGCCAGCCGACTCAAATACCTAGTTCTTCAGCAGCAGTGGTCATACTACAGGAGCCTTCCCTGCGCGGACCTGTGAATGACGATCTGGTAAAGGCACCAAGCATAACAAGACCAAAGAGCAGGGGACAGACAGCGCTCTCCTCGGTACAGGGGCCACGCAGTAGCCCAGCAAAGGCTTCAGATGGACTACTATCTCTGCAGCATACACCAATGCAAAAGAGAACAAAATGCCAGCAATCACAACGGCAGCAGGCCCCATGAGGCCAGGGACAGTGAAGGGATCAGCAGGGGATATCAACAGGGTTTCCCTCACAATGCAGGCAGTTCTGAACAAGGGAACGCAGGGACAGACTGGCTTGTAGGCTTGTAGCAACATTCAGGAGAGGACTGGACATATCCGGACAGATGTAATACAGGGACGCTGGCCGCGATTGCCAGCAGGTGTTGCTCCCCACCAATAGATGGAGCCTTCACATCCAGGACCCTGTTTAGTGAGGATGTGCATATCACCTCACTAAACAGATTCCCCTGCTCATGAGGTTTACCGGAAAAAAAAAGGGAAAAAAAAAGGAGAGGACTGGACAGATAGACAGTATACTATCACTGGTGCTTGCTTCAACTCAGTACACTTGGGGAGGCCTGCTGTGGAAGCTAGGCGGGGTGAGTAGATAAGACCGGCCTCTGGCAAGGACAGAGACCGTAGCAAGTCTCAGAAATAGCGAACCACTGAAGTGGTACATATGCGAGATGAATAGAAAGACTAGCCTCTAACAGTACTGGAGCCACAGTCAGTCTCAGGGCCATCAGCAAAAAAAGCAATGTATCACATGTGGCATTTGGGACGCTGGACCCGATTTCCAGTAGGTGCAGCTCCCCACCGATAGATGGAGCCTTCATAGGGAGGGTCACTTTAGGAGGGCGCTCGTCGTCATACTGTTCCTGATGGATGAGCCAGACTGAGTGACCCTCCAGCATTTGGTGATAGAAAGAGTTAATATTTCCCACTGTGTGCACCCTACCGCCATTGTCCCATAGGGTCCATGAACTATCTGCAAAGGTAAGAGCACTGAAGTGACCTGGACGATATAAGATATATGGCCGAATATTCGCATCCGTGCCTGGCTCGTGGTTTTGCGGAGCAGGCTGGAATTGCAGTCGCCTACCCATAAATGCCATAGCCAGGACTTCTATGTTCACCCCAGGCGCAGCGCTGTCGTCGTCTGGGCAGACGGCACAGTGCTCTTCTTCTATCCAGCGAACAACGTCTGTGAAATCAGCAACAGTATAAGGATTACAATTGTAAGCAAGGAGGCATACATTAATGGCATAGTACGCACAGCGCCCTCGCTGTAGCGCTATGACATTGTCTGATTCCGCAGGTTGCGTGGGGGATCCGTTTACGGCAGGGGGGTCCTCGTTCAATTCTGCAGGTTGCCCAGGTGGCGGAGACTTGTTGTGGACTTGACCAATTGGCTCCGGTATGTGCTCCGGAGAGTGGGGGGGGGGGGGGGGGGGGGGGGGGGGAAGGTTTTTCTTTTCTTTTTTTTTTAATAACACAAGGCTCGAATCTATTCGTGGGGAGCAGCGTGTGCTGGGAAGCAGGCCCAGCGTCCCTTACCAATTGGCAACATGTGAATGAAGTAGTTGGCTGGACATTGCCCAGCTTCTGGAACAGAAACTCAGCACTCATTGAAAACATTAGGGGAGAGGCCCCAAGAGGGGAATTTCTGAACCAAGAGCAGGGAACTATTGCTACCGGTGGCTCTTCACCCCGTCATAGGGGCACCTGCTCCGGTGGCTATCTGCCAGGCACCCCTTATGCCTGGCACGCTTTTCTGTCGCTGTTTCCCCTGCCCTTCCGCACCCCTCCACTCAGTTCTTCCCATACCACTGCCTATCAACCAGGGAAAGGGGAGGGGAGGGAAACGGGTTGGGGAAATCAGAGAGGGGACGCAACAGGATTGTGGGGTCGACTACTGTCCAATCATTGAAGGAGAGCTTGTAGTCCCTTTCGAGCTCCTCCTGCTCACCCTCCTGCAAGGCATCACTATTGCATTACAATCCGACTCTTCCCTGCCCAAGAGAGGGCACACTCACACAACGACTCAGCAGTGAACGTGTGCTCACACTAATACATATTCGACTCAACTGTGAATGTGTTGCAGCTCCACACATCCACACACCGTCGTATTATACATTAGAGCAGTGCTACCGTCTTCACCCGAATAGAACGCCCGGTCATTATAGCTGATACGGCTATAATGACCAGGCGTTCTATTCGGGTGAAGACGGTAGTATGGGTCTGACAGTCCACCAGTCCAAAGCACCGTCCAGAAACTGGAGTGTTCTGAAACATCATCATTGGTTTCTCCTTTTCGCTTTTTCCCCATTTTGCCCTGTCACCCATCTCAAATCTCACAGCAACTGGCCACTCAGATGATGCTCGTTCCCTCTGCTACTGGCTGTCCCCTGGCCGGTGTCGCCGACCGGGAGTTCCCTCCCTGGCTGGTGTCTGGCCCACTGGGGGTTCACTGATGGCAGTAAGGCCACCCGGCGTCCGATTAGACACATGATTGAATTTACCTGGGCTGGTTAGTCCAATGATAATACCCGAAGTCCATCGCCCTTTTTTTCCTTTTTGTTTTCAAAACTCGTCTTATCCTTTGGCTAGTGGGACCGTGTCCCAGAGGGTATAATAGGCGATGGTCGGAATATTGGAAAAGGAAAAGAAATATACCTACTACACGTGTGTGTGTGTGTGTGTGTGTGTGTGTGTGTGTGTGTGTGTGTGTGTGTGTGTGTGTGTGTGTGTGTGTGTGTGTG